AGTTATGAGTGCTTTTAACAATAAGCAGCCAACACGGACTGAGGACATTCCACATGCCAGGTCCTCTTCTAAGTACTTAATGTGTATGAACTTATCTGATTGTCACTGCAATCCTAGGAAGATATGCACTATTATTTTTCCATGTAGCAATTTCTGACACAGAGTGGTTAAACAAGCAACTCAAGATCACACAGACAGTAAAGAACAAAGCTTGGATTTAAACCTAGGTATCTGTTACTACTGTACAATGTCATGCCTTTCAAATTTCTCTGAATAAAAAACCAGGAAAGAGAAGAGAGGAGACCTAAAGAGATGAAGTTAAGTTAATTAAAAGGCAACCGAAACTATTCAAATTATCTACTTTAACATATACACTTATTATACAGACTTCTAAATTCTAACCATATGATTCTGCTCTATGTTAACAAAAAAGACCTAGGTAGATCAAGTTCTGAGAGGAGTTCAAGGGTCCATCTTTACTTGGAAGGTGATGATGGCAGAATAAGTTATTTACAGTTAACTATCAATACACCTCGTCATTTTAATTAACCAATGGTCATAACTATGAACACTAGCCACAGAATCACAGTACTGGGTTCCAACCACTGGGGTGGTTCTTTATTAGAATTTCATTTCTAGGTCCAGAAGAGCTACCGAAGAACTCTTATAGACAATCATATACTCAAACAGCTATGAAACAATAGAAGGAATCCTAACTTGGAAGTCAGACCCCTTCCAAGCACACAACTCATCTTCTCCTCTGCCAGTCCCCTTCAATATACCAACTCGTATATAGTTTTAGGCAAGTAACTTCTCTGGGCCTCCATTCCTTCTGTCAAGTTAAGAAAAGAAACACACACTCTTCCTCTACCACCATTACAAAGGGTGTAGGGTAGGAGGAATGGACTTAAAAGAGAACATGCATGGCGGGGGTGGGTATAGCTCCGTGGCAGAACACGTGCTTAGCACACACGAGGTCCTGGGTTCAATCCCAGTACCTCCATTAAAAAAAAGAAAGAGAACATACATGGAACAGTATAGCACAACAAGTGTTTCTTCTTTCTCTACAAGGAACTCTCTTCTAGGTAGAAGATTTAAAGGGTAGGCTACTAGGGGGTAGGGTATAGCTCAGTGGTAGAGTGCATGCTTAGCATGCACAGGTCCTGGGTTCAATCCCCAGTACCTCCATTAAAAAATAATAATAATAAATAAATGAATAAATAAGCCTAATTACCCCCCCACACACACAAATAAAATAAAAATAAAGGGTAGGCTACTGAAACACTACTTTGTCCTGCTAAGCCCCTATCCCCACACTGCAACAGTACACAAAATTATCATTCAAAACTAAAGCTGGCAAGAAAAGATAAATTCAGACCAGACAGTCAGCTGTTTAGCTGGGAGATGACTGCCTTGGCTTCTAAGAGCCCTCTGGCTCTGTCAGGTCAGATCTGTCAGCCGGACACATCCCTTGAATACAGCCAGAACGGAATTCAACAGCATGCAGTTCAGAGCCAGGTGACCACCAAGGATATAGAGAAACTGGAATTCTCATACACTGTAAAATTAAGCGTATAAAATGCTGGGGAATCTTTGGAAAAACAATCTGGCAATTCCTCAGTGAAGCACAGAATTATCTACCATGTGACCCAACAATTTCCTAGGTATAAAACCAAGAGAAATGAGCACATGTCCCCAGAAAAACCTGTACAAGAAGCCTCACATAAGCATTACACGTAACAGACAAAAACTGGAAACAGCCTAAATGTCTGTAAACTGAATGGATAAATTAAAAGCAACATATTCATACAATGGAATAGTATTTATCAATAAAAAGGAATGAAGTGCTGATACATTGCTAAACACTGATGACCCTTGAAAACAGTACGCCAAGTGAAAGGAGGCAGTCACAAAGGAGGACATATTGTATGATTCCACTTCTATGAAATGTCCAGAATAGGCAAATCTATAGCGACATAAATAGATCTGTGCTTGCCTAGGGCTGGAGGGAACGGGAGGACTGGGAAGTGACAGCGAGGTATAGGGTTTCTCTGAGGGTAATGAAAATGTTCTAAAATTGACTGTGGTGATAGATGGACAACTCTCTGAATATACAACTCTGTGAAAAGCCACTGAACTGTACATTTTAAATGGGTGAACTGTATGGCATGTGACTTATATTTCAATAAATCTGTTTTAAAAAAAACCCTAGAAAACAGATCCAGAGAAGTTAAATAAAACTGCTCAAGTCACAAGACTGTCAAGGTAGTAAATACTGGACTTGTTTTGTTTTTAATTCCCAAATCCCAGGACTTCAGCTCTGGTCATCTGACTTGTCGAGAGCTATTTCCACCACAGCATAAGGAGAGAGGGGAAAGTTTGTGTTCATGCACTGCCCTTGTGAAAGGCTGAGAGCTAACTGGACACGAGCACCCGGTATTCTCATGTTTTCAAGACTAGTAAAGGGAATAGCAGATTTGTCTGATTCCCTTGAAATAGCTAACACACTGGGATCATGATAGGAGGTTTAGGGGTTGCAGTCTATGACCTCAGAAAAGAGTTCTAGGTCTTTGGGGGACACATGGAACTCATTTGACCATGGCTTCATTTCAAAGCAGATCTAACAAGTCCTTTCTTTAAAAGCACCACTCTCAAGCTCATGTCTATGGCTTAGATAACAACCCACTTTTGTGCAGGATCATATCAAAGAGTCAACTAAACAAAGGCCTATATATGAGAATTGTAACATTTCACCTATAAAGAAAGGAGAGCTCAACAAAAATAGAAATGTTTCCAATAAATAGATTAAAGTTGACATTCCACTTTAATGACTACTCAAGCCATTCACACAGCAGACTAATTACTTATAAATATTTAAGATACTTAGACTGGTTAATAATCAGTCAGTAAGACTTAAGCGACTGCAATTTTAAAATAACAAATTAGGAAAAACCACAATGAAGCCATTACTCATTACTGAATTTGGGCATAAGCCACATTCTTTGTCCTCAGAAAGTTAAGCAAGCAGAACTCCTAAGGCTAGAATAATGCATCTGCACTGGATTAAACCAAACTGAATCAATACTATATTATGTAATATCATAGTACAAACTCATTAACTGGAACATCATATAAAAGTTAAAATGAGTGGCCAGATATCACATCCTTTGTCTGATAACTGGCTTAAATTTTTTAATACAGCATCCAAGAATGTTCTGAAGGGAAACATTTACTCCTGCATCAACCCCTCTCCATCACTCCCTCTCTGTAGCTAACCCTTCTCCAACTCCCAACCATTGTCTTTAATTTTTTTTTAATTTTTAATTTTGGGGGGAGAGGTAATTTATTTTATTTATTTGTTTGTTTGTTTATTTTTAGTGGAGGTACAGGGGATTGAACCCCAGACCTCGTACATGCTAAGCATGCACTCTACCACTTCAGCTATACCCTTCCTCAACATCGTCTTTCATTTTTGAAATATCATGTAGAAGCATCTGAGAGTTAACTGCAATCCATTTAAATGACTGGGATATTTCAAGCAAGAAATAATGAAAGTTCAGTGCTAAGTCAAAGGAGTAACTCAAAGCCAACAATTCAGATTTCATTTTCTGCAAACAGAGCTAACTTCAGGAAGTTAAACCTGTACCTAGGATGACTCCCCTGAGTCACTGTAGCAGGAACAGGAACCGTGGTCATTAAGATCATTGCATGTACTCTACGGTAGCATTCCCACTTCACCTTCTGTTAGAGGTAGCTGTGCAAATGCTCACTTCTCCCACCAGGATTATAAGTCCCTTGAGTACAGGGACCACGTTTTCTCCACCCTTGTGTCACCCATGCTCCTAGAATAGTGTCTTACACACTGCAAGAATTGAGTAAATGCTTGTTCAACTGTAAGGAACTCTATCATGTGTTGGCTGCTAGGATCCAGAAATTATTTAGCTTTATGATCCAACAGTCCAACTATATGTATTATATGAATCCACTTCTTATCTACAAATAAAGACTATTAGGAATAAAATGTTAACTAAAAACTTTAACCCACAAAGCCTCTATGTAAAAGCACTTGGAGGACTTTGTCAGGGGTATAGGATTGGCCCAGTTTTAGAAAAAGATCAAAATGGAGACATTTGTGCCTCAGAAATTATGAC